CTAAGTAGGATTTCCAGTCCTGGAGTTTTCAGGAAAGAGCATTAAAAAGGGTAAGTTGCAATTTTTAAATATATTTCTTAAAGTTATGCTATGCGAATGGGAACATATTACAAATATGAAATAGGTGTTATCCCAATTTGGATGCAAAAGTGGAAATATGCTTAGTATTTACAAACAGCAACATTTCAGACAGGAAAGAAAAAACAAAGAGGGGAATTTATCAAAACTGGAGCAGACAAAATCTGGAGCAGATTTGCACTGCAGCCAATCAGCTTCTCTCTCTCTCTCATTTTCAAATCTTGCAAACTGAACAGAGAAGCTGATTGGTTGCCACGGGCAACTGCTCCAGAATCGGTTTGCTGCAGTTTTGATAAATTCCCCCCATATTATATTATTAAAAAAAATAGTAGACTTACTTTCTGACCAATCCATCCATTTATTGTAACGTTACACTTTACATTTCAAAGAGAATATATACAACTGACTTATCTCAAAGATTCCAAATTAAATACTAATTTGCATTTTTAGTTTTCATGACAGTTATGATAATCTATTGAACAATGCATGCACTATGCTGGGTCTGGTGAATGTTAAATGAGTTCTGGTTGAACTATAGTGTGACTGAGGCTATAATTATCAGGAGTTAATGAAATCTAATATAGAGTTTGGTAATAAAACACTACAGTGGAAACAAGCTGTTATGGAAATAGTATTTATTGTAAGACATTATTTAAAAAAAATTTTTTTAAAGTGTAAAGCCAAAAAACTTTTGGTTTGATTTGGATAGAGTTGGAGTCTAGCACCGCTTTCAGATTTTATTTAGGAATAAGCTCAGGTTTGAATAGAACTTGGTCCGAACCTTAACTCCTCGAAACCCTGAAGGAGATCCTCCTGAATAGGAAAGTAAGCTTCTTCCATGCCACTCAATTAGCTGCTTGAAGTAAGCAAGGGGCGGGATATATCGCTAAATGCCTATGTTTGGTAAATTATAGTTACCTAATATGTGGTCATATAAGGTAAATGGCATCAACACAAGCATCCCAGCCTTTTGTTTTCATGCAGCTGCGGGGTGGGGAATGGCCAGCCTGCAGCTGCAGGGTGGGGAATGGCCGGCCTGCAGCCGATTGGCTTCCTTGTTAAGAGGAACCTGAGCTCATCCCTATATTTAGTTACTGTGTGTCTCTCTGATGGGGAGATTCAATCTTTTGTCCTGGTGAGCATTGTCTTTTGTAATACCTAATGGGAAATCTACAATATTAGAGATGCCACAGGAACACAAGATAACTGGAAATCTTCCATTGGGAACAGTTTTTTTAAGCGACAACTGTCCAAAAGAAAAATTCCCCTCACTTATGAGAGATTTTGCTTCCTAACTTATTTTACTTCCTGTTATATCTCTCGGAAAGGAAGAGAAGGGAGATCTCCTGCATGGTATACAAAGCAAAAAATCCCCCAAAAAAACAAAAAACAACAACATAATACCAAAAAACAAGTAAATACAGCAACATTCGTCACATGATCTATGTCTATATATATCTACTGAATTTGGGCACTGAAGTGTGCAGAGAAATCTATTCAAGCACAGGAAGAGCGTGCAATCTCCAAGCATATAGTTTCTCAGCTGAGGTTTTGAACCAGGGATGCCAGTCCTGCAAGGAAGGGGTGCTAACAACTGAGCCACTGGGGTTGATTTACTAACCTTATAAACACGCCACGAACAAGTATACACCTCTGTAGTGTGTTCCCTCCCAGCATGATCTATTGGTGGAATCTAGACACCTTTGTAGTGTGTACACACCCAGCAGGTGTGTTGTGCAAAGCCCTGCATGAATTGCAAGGTGATGTTGTGTAAATTAGCTCTACGTTGTGTTGCTTGCGTTGATGAATGCAGGAATGTAAATGCATGAGCTAACCATTTTTGTCTAAACTGTGAAGCAGCATTATAAATGCATCATGTGCATGATTTTTCTATATATGGCATTAGTGGAAATATGCTTTTAGAGACTTGCATGCCGCTATTAGAGCAGCGTGTAGCCTATGGCGCATGCTACACGACTCGCACGTATGTAAATACATAAAAACACGCCATAATGGCGTGAAAATGTGACGCGTTGCTCGTGGTGGTCGATAAATACGTTTTGCTGTGTAAAAATGCACACGCACCTGGTGCGTGTGTGTGTTTAGGTTAGTAAATCACCCCCACTGTGTCACCCAGGCAGTCATCTGGTGATTTGAGAAACCCTGCTTGTGTTGTAGAAGAGTAATTCCTAAACAAACCCACACACAGGAGATTGGAGAGAAGGGAGTTTGAAATACATTGACTGTCCCCTGACCAGACCAGCCAACCCATTTCCAGACAATTTTTATTTTTTTCTGGTTTGGGATAGAGAAAATTAGGATAGAAGATTTAATATTTATGTCAGGTTTCTATATCTTTCTGTGACTCCATTTCTAACTGAACAATAAATGGGGATCAGGAAGGCCACAGACAACAATAAAAACATTGTCAGAAGTTCTAACATTTTCCCACCTTACTAAAAATCTCTTTTAGTTTTTCCCCCACTACATAGATTTCTCATCACTTTCTTTCAAAGGAGGAATTGAGGGTAAATTTCCTCAAGAGGGACAACTCTACTCTAAAACAAAATAAAACGTTTTATGCTGGAGTTGGGCTTTTTATCTTATAATGGCTTGTGTATACGATACAGTATTTGTGTCATATTAATGTTTAATAATACTTGCGTTTAAGTGGATTGGGGCAATTCCCACTTGTGTCCTAATTACATTATTTGAATATTACTAGATATGGATGTCTACATTGACATGCCGGTTAGATATTGGTCTAGACTGGAACCTGTAATAAAAAATTGTGAGACTGAATACAGCCAGGACAGGAAATTAGGAACAGTATAGTTTGTCATATGTAGATTAATGGCCATGGATCCCTTTACATAATGTTTCCCCTAGGCTTGTCCTGTTGACACACGGCTCTGTATACTGTTTGCTGAGGCATACATTGTGCTGTGGTCATAAATCTGCTAAATCCCCTATTATAGGAGATAGCTTTAGACCCGGCTTCCTATTTGCAGCATGTCACTTAGAATGGGCTGCCAAGGTGTGGTGTTATAGGTGAAAGGTTTCAGTGAAGTCCTGCGAACACCGGTCTTTATCATTTCTATAATTCTATAACTAGTCTTTCATTTCTTGGGTGAGTCACCGGATCGCTTGTAAAACGTCATGAGTGTTGAGGAGGAAAGGGGACACCAGCTCTCCTTTTTTCTGCTGAACGGAGAATAGGGGGTGCAGTTAGACGTAGGTGGCCATTACCCCGTCCTTAGTTCCAAAAAAGTGATTTACCAAACACCAGCACTTACTAAAGTGTCAGTAAACCCAGAAAGTGTTTTTTTGGGCCATTGACTCTAAAACTATTTCATTTACGTGTCAGCTTAACCTTTCCAAATGTAAAAGTGGTCACCAGTAAGGATGGGCTGCATGTTCGAGTCGACCATAGGTTCGATTCGAACATTGCATGTTCTAGCGTTCGCCGAACGCCGAACATTATGGGATGTCCGTGGTCTGTTCGACCCCCGCACATCCCACAATGCACTGCGCCGTCCGAAAACGGTAATTGGCTACACTCCTGCACCTGACCGCAGGTCAGGTGCAAGACTGTGCCAATCAGGGCTCAGTACAAATGTAGAGCCATGATTGGGCAGAGTCACGATGACTCTGCCCAACCACCAAACAGAGTGTCACTATGTCTGCTTGATGAAGGGACCGCTAAAGGCCGTGACACACTGCACGCGAAGCCGTGCAGAGCGAAGCAAAGCTATCCGGCACGGAGCTTTGCGTGCAGTGTGTGAGCTGACTGCAGTCAGATGATTGACTGCACCTTCAGCCAATCGGCTCGTCCGTAACAACCAGCCAGCTGTCGCATACCGACGCGCTGGTTTATTCGCGCGAGCCGATTGGCTGAAGTTGGAATTGTTGATCTTGGCACGCTCAGCTCTGCGAGCTCTCGCCAGCTTAGGTGCCCAGGAGAAAATGACATGACACACTGCTCGCAAAGGCAGCGCGCCACCGCTCCGCGCTGCTTCGCCTGCAGTGTGTCACGGCCTTAATGGTTCCGAAAAGTTGCTGTCTACTAGTGATACCATGTATTCCTAGCGTCTAAATAAAGGCGTATCAATACATTGGACCTTGGCGTGCTGGTGACTACTTTTATGTTTGGATTCACGTGGTGCCATCCGCGGGTCACACCAGCATCCATTGAATCATGCTGGGATTGCAGTCTGCAGTACGATGGGAAGTAAGTATGCTATTATGCGTAACATTTACTTTACAACTATATTCCTTGATAGTATATCCCTCTTTTATCCTGCCACGTTCCTAGACTTACTTATTCTGAGTGACAACGTAGCTGATCCTCTGTCTTCTGTGTTGCCACTCTCGGTGTGAATGCTCTGCTTTTCCCCTCTGCGCATGTCGCCCACTTGGGACACATTTTAGCAGTTTGCTGGGCAGCTCCAGAAGTTTGATCGACAGCTGCTACTTCTCCCCACCTCGCCGCCCCGCCTGGCTACTAGAGCCCCCCAGTGGAATGTCCCTCATCGTACTCACGTGCAACACACTGTATTGGAGGTGATGACATCACAGGTTCTTAGACGACCAGGGTGAAGAATAGGCTGCGGGGGCCAGTTTAGCATCCAGGTGGGTCAGAGTTTCAGGTGAGATTATCTTTGTTATTATAGACCCTAGACCAAAACGAGCACTTAACCCTTGCAGTTTGGGGTAGCCCCAAGGGTTACTTTTTATTCGGCCCCCAGTTCTTACTTAAGCTTTGCAAATGAAAGAGAAGCTGATTGGTTGCCACGGCAACTGCCCCGGATTCTGTCTGCTCCAGTTTTGATAAATTCCCCTCATGGTGTTCAGCTTGTGATATTTGCATTGTTGTTGTTGTCACAGCGTTCATAGTTCTGTATGATTTCTTTTCTCCTCAGATTTTCATCACCGTGAACTGTCTCAGTACTGATTTCTCCTCTCAGAAAGGGGTCAAAGGCCTTCCTCTCATGATTCAGATTGACACGTACAGCTATAATAACCGTAGCAACAAGCCAATCCATCGGGCATACTGCCAGATCAAGGTCTTCTGTGATAAGGTAACAATGGACATACTGCGGAGGAAAAAAATGCATTATTCCATTCAATCAATAGCTAATAGTATAATTGACAGATTGCTGGGGATGACTGTTATTGTAGAACAAGAGCAAAATAATTCTCCGGCAATGTTAAATGTTTATGCTGACGGCACAATACCCTTTATATGTCCCCTTTGAAGTAAAGCTTTATTTAAAACTCACACTTCCATTAGTAAAAAAACCCTTCAGGGTGTGTGACTTCAAGCCTAGGTCACATGGTCACTGTCTACCAGGAGCACACTGGGGAGTTAGAAACTAGCAAAGGAGACCCTGTTTTGTAGACTTGCAGTGCAATGAAGCACTAGGGAGGCCAAGCCAGGAAGTAGACCCTGTATACATGATATACTGTACATAGATGATAGCATATACTATAAAAATTACCTGGTTGCCTATCCACATCTCATGGGTGCTGGACAGTGGAGGAGAATACTGGCTGTGAGTGAGGAATAAGGTACACGCTGCATGGGTAAATTTAACGGCAACCCAGAGTGGACTTTACAATTCCCTACTTTATCCAAAACAAAAACAAAAAAATTACTATACACATACTTTAAAAGACTATGGCTCCCCTTTAGGGCTAAATTACTAATTTGCCTAAATAATAATTTTACCTCTGGCCTAGTGATCCTGTATTTATTTTTAATATTCAGTCAGTACAGGTGAGGTAAAAAATAAAAATACTGAGGCTATTCTCCTGTCCATTTACACCATTGCGTAAATAAGCGTTGTGTTGAAGTAGCCTATTTAAAATGAATGGGGTGGCAACACATGCGTGGTACATGCGTCATTTCTGTGAGAGCTCCGCACCACAACACACATTAGTGCATTGCTACACATCAAGCTGCGCTGCAACGCAGGTCCATTGGCAAGTCGTGACATACATATTTAATGATGGTGAATTGAACCAACGCATATAATGTACAAACAAAATATCACCGGCACACTGGAGATATGTTTCCACGCAAACGTCTTTTATTGGTACATATTTTGGCAACTTTTCGGGCTACGCAGAGTGCCTTCATCAGGTTCAGTATGCAGCACAGTAGCTGGTAGGTTAATAGGCTCCTGTCTAAATTGGCCCTGTATGTATGCATGTGAGATAGGGACCTTGGTTTGTAAGCTCCTTGAGGGCAGGGACTGATGTGAATGTGCACTAAGTAAAGCGCTGTGTAGATTGTCAGAGCTATATAAATACCTGTAGTAATAATAATAATAAAAGTAATTTGCTTGGACACATATCTCTGGTGTTGGCGACATCTTATTTCCTTTTTGATCAGAGCGAAGACATCCGCAGTCATTTCAGCACCTAACTCTATAGTTTTCCGGTAAGGAGTGTGATCAGATACCTTTTGAACCCATATAATGTGGCATGCGCTGCAATAATGCACACATTGTCACTATGCCATAGTGTGAATGGGCCCTAAAAATGACTCCTTTAGTAAACCAGACAAAGCGAGCGCAATATCATTTGGCTGGGTGTGGTCTGTTTGTCCCTTTTCTTATCTGGACTGTAACACCAAACACAAGAACCATACAAATTCCATTTTTTAGTATTGCTTCTTTTAGACACAGTTCTCAAACTCTAATTGTCTAAGTATTTCTTTTGTGTTTGATTTCTAGGGAGCAGAGAGAAAAATCCGGGATGAAGAAAGAAAACAGAACAGAAAAAAAGGAAAAACACAATCAACAGCGGCACAAACAGCATCCACAAATAATTGTGAGTCTTTTTTTATGACGTTTGTGACATCAGCTCCCCTGAGAGGAATATACTGTATGTCTACTGTGAGTCTGTCAGCTGCTCATCTAACAACGTGTCTGGGGTAACATTGGGCTTCTCAGGAAATCCCACCTCACTCCTTACCGGTATGCTCTTTGTGGTGTTGAAGTGACTGTAAACTCAAAAATACATTTTGTTATTTGGTTTTATATAATGACAATAAAATCTTATCTATATTCTTGTATCCATGGATAAGAGTAAAGGAAAGATATTAGCGCAGGCGTGGGCAACTCCAGCCCTCCAAGTGTGCTTTAACTACAAATCCAAATATGCCTCTGCCTCTGGGAGTCATGCCTGTAACTGTATGACTGCAATGCCTCATGGGATTTGAAGTTCCACAACAGCTGAAGGGCTGGAGTTACCCACCCCTGTCTTAGAGGTTCCCTACTCTGAATTTTTGTTTCAGTAAAGATGTAAGGCTAGAAAAGTCTTCCGATAAATGAGAGCATGATCATTCATTGTGATGTGTCTGCAAGGTGCTTTGGGGTGTATGTAGCAGTATAAAAATTTTAAGACGGCCTTGAAATGGCCATGCACCATACAAACTGATCTTACAGTCTCTGTACAGTCTCATTTACATTTTATATATACTGTATATAGAATTCATAAAAATGAATCAAAAAGAAAAGATGAATTTGCTTTAAAAGAAATTCTGTTTGCTTTATTTTTTTTAGCACCTGATGCAAAAATGTCAGCCATGCCAATACAAAAAAAGAGTGACATCACCTTCTTCAAAACCATGTCTGACCTGGACTCCCAGCCTGTCCTTTTCATCCCCGATGTTCACTTTGGAAATCTACAAAGAACCGGACAGGTATTCCAAGTAGCACTTTAATCAATGCACAGTATGAAGCATGCACAGTAACAAGTACTAAAACCTCAAACATACAGCCAGTTATCACCTGCAATCTACCTGGGAGAGCCTTTCACCCAATGCAATGATCCAAGTTCTGTGAGTTCTTTGAAGCACTCTGAGACATATCAAATGGAGCTGAGCCAAACTATGACTGACTGGATAGACACTGGCTGGAATTGTCACACAATGCAGAGCCCACCACAGATCCTGCACAGCCCCCCTGGGACCCTACTGAGCCAACCATAGACCCACAGAGCCCACCACAGATCCTGCACAGCCCCCCTGAGACTCTGCTGAGCGCACCATAGACCCCGCAGAGCCCACCATAGACCCTGCCGAGCCCACCACAGATCATGTAAAGGCCCCCTGAGCCCTGCAGTCTGCAGGGTCTCAGGAGAGCTGTGCAGGATCTGTGGTGGGCTCTGCAGGGTCTCAGGGGGGCTGTGCAGGGTCTGTGGTGGGCTCTGCACGCTGCAGAGCCCCCTTGAGAGCCTGTGGAGCCCACCATTGACCCCACAGAGCCCACCACAGATCCTGCAGAGCCCACCTGAAACTTTCAGGTGGGCTGCACAGAATCTATGCTGGGCTCTGCGGGCACCCAGCTTCCTCTACTGCCCAACTGGCACTTCCAGGTCCCGGCCTCCTCCCTGCATGACTGGCGCTTCGGGACCGGCTTCCTCCGCCATCCGACGTGGATCTGGACCCGCCCCTCCTGCTGCTGATGCTCCTCCTCACCTCCGCCTCCTGCTCGATTAGGCAGCAGAGGCTGCTGAATTCTGTGCACCCCGGCTTAGCCGACTGTTTTGGGGGTGGCATTTTTGCCGCCCCCGTGGAAAGTGCCGCCCAAGGCAAACACCTTGTTTGCCTCGCGGCAGATACGCCCTTGGGTCTATTTATAAACACTTCACACTTCTGGGAGATGCAAATCTCCCAGAACAATTGTTCTGTGCAAATAAAGGGTAAAAAGAACATTCTTAGTATATTTAGTATATTTTCTTTTTTAGGTTGAATGTAATGTCCTGTAATACCACATTATGACCACTAGACAGAGCTGAGGAACATAGGAAATAAATACTTATTTCCTGAGCTCAATCTAACCTTAAAATTTTTATTTACACACACTTAATAGTTAAACCTAGATGACAGTCACAGGACTGGAGGTGCTGCTATGCTGCAGTAGTGCCACAAGGTTTTTAAAAATAAGATTTACATGTAAAAGAAAATGTAAAAGCACTTGATGCACATATATGTAAATGTTTTCCTTTATTTTCTGGGGTCACAAGGTGAAGTTTTACATTAGGAATGAGCTTTTTTTATTTATTTTAGCACCAAGGATTTTTTAGATTTATAAGATAACATTAAGCTCTAAGTGGAATCAATAAAAGTAATTATAGGAAAGCGCAACCGTCTCTCTGCAATAATGTGTATTACTTCTGTAATTTATAAGATGTGAAAAGATTACGGCTGTAAAATGAAAGCAATATCATTGTCAGCTACTAGAATGATCTCTCTCTTTGTTACGACCCTCCAACTAACAGCTCCTCTGTTTTATTCCATCCATCTCAGTTCAAAAAAACCCTTTCTGGTACACGCTAATCAAGTTACTGTTGTTGTAATGAGGATCAGGATGTCGTTTTATCAATGTTTATTACATTCTGGTTTATATCTAAATCAGGATAATTGTCTGATCCATCACGCCAGCTACAGCAATGGAAATATATGCCCTGTTTTATAACTATGTACATGTGTTTCTCAAACAGGTTTTCTACAATACAGACGATGACTTAGAAGGGTAAGAAACAATATTTAACAATGTAGAAATCAAAATATAATTATGTATGATGTATTAAAGGGCCAATCCACAGTAAAATTATATTTGGGACATGGATGGATGCTTGTTATTTGAACCAGTTTTGAGTTTGGTGTGCTTCTTGGAGGATCTGTTGGTGAGATTATCCACAATGGAGTTCTTAAGGCTTATGGAGAAAGGGTTCTCAATCCTCCTGCAGTTATCGTACTGCACCAAGCACACAATGCCAGCAGGGAGAATAAAGTCCGTGACACACTGAATGCGAAGCCGTGCAGAGCGATACAAAGCTGTCGGGCACGGAGCTACGCATGCAGTGTGTGAGTGGAGTGCAGCCAGATGATTAACTGCATCTTCAGCCAATCGGCTCACGCGTAACAAACGTTTGGAGTTCGCATCTTGACGCGCGGGTTTATGCACACAAGCCGATTGGCTGAAGATGAAAATTTTAATCTCAGCACGCTCAGCTATGCGAGCTTTCGCAAGCTGACGTCCTGGGAAGAAAATTACATGACGCACTGCGTGCGAAGGCAGCGCGCCACCTTTCCACGCTGCTTCCCATGCAGTGTGTCATAGCCTTAAAAGTCCCTTTAATTAACTGGTGGTCAGGAGTGAATCTTTGACTCAAGGGCTGTCCCGTAATGAGGCAGCCGGAGACAGCCAAAGCATTCCAGGTTGCTAAGAGCTCTTAGCCACCTGTGACAATCTATGCAGTGCTGACCAGGTCGCTGACATCACCAGTTACCAGGAGCTGCGCGTGTGTGCACAGTGTGTTGGCCTGTCGGCACCCAATCTACCTCGCTTGACAAAAGTTGATTTTTCAATTGACTTTTGTTGAAGGAGCCGGTCTAAAAATCTTGGCAGAACTCAATAGCCAGCAGTTGGGATTCCTCCATCATTGCTGTATTGCGTAGATAGGGGAATGGATGGATTATTCTCATTCAACCCCCGAGAAATTCTAAGCATGTATGGCCAACTTAACCCTGCACTAAGTTGATAAAACCATTGCCCAGATGGGGTATTGGGGGCAGGTATTGAACATGTGTATAATACTTGCAGTGATTGGGGAAAATATAGCACATCAACAATGGGCTGCCAGAAAAGTAAGTATAGAGCCTCTTCTAATATAGATATGCTTTACCATACACAGACAGCGTCACTTTAATGTGAACAAAAGTTCACTATACATTTTATTTTTTCCTTAATTGGCAAGTTAACCCCCGAAGTGTTATAATATTTTTAGCAATTAGATGTGTGCAGTCTTCAATAAAACTAAGGCAGCCTCTTGCTACACATACTATACATTTCGGTACTCTGTCCCATTTGTGTGTTGTACAGGAACTAATAGAAAGGCAGGGGGTGCAGGGGAGGCAGCCTACATAGGACAAAGATAGCACAGCCAATGCTAGGAGAATAGAAGCCCCAGAGCTAGCACTTTTACATTACAACATCTATAATATCTACTACATTTTTTGTTTTTCTCGTACAGGAGCAGTGTGCTAGTGAAAAGGATGCTCCGTCCTGTTGAGGAAGACTTTGGTCCACCTGCACCAAAGCAAATGAAAGAAGCACATAAAAAAGGTAACATTTCATATCATATATTTCAACTCCGAAAACAATAAAAATTGTGATGCTAAAACCTACAACCTAAGTGCAGCCCCCTTGTCCATTCACGAAAAGCTCTGCATTATTATACAACATTTATATAGCGCCAATGGTTTGTGCAGTGCTTTACATCATATGGGGAGAATACAATTACCGTACAAAGGATTAGAAGGATTCTGCTCATGAGAGCTTACAATTGTATTCTTTTTTTTAACAGAATATAAGGTGTTCCGTGAATGGACAATGGGACATCCAGTCGTATACCCATCCCTCCTCTTGCATTGTCCAGTCAAAAAAGGCTTTTTGTGAATGGACAAGGGAAGAAGAGGGACAGGAATATGACTATATGTTCCCTTGTCCATTCACAAAACACCTTGCATTCTGTACAAAAAATACAAGGCTTTTTTGTGAATAAATGAAGGATAGGAGAGGGCAGGTATGTGACGCATTCTAGCATGAAACTAGGATATTATAACTATACTGTATATATTAAATGTGCTGTGCTCACCCCACTCCTAAATCAAATAATGGAATAGATACATATATATATACACTATGCTACAATAAATAGATATATACATAAATATAAAAATAGAGATTTAGCAAAATTGTTGTGATAAATCACCCTCTAAGTATTTCAAAGTGCTAATAATCAAAAACCCAACAACTAAACAATCAATGTTCAAATTTGCAATGTAATCTATAAACAATGAAGTGAATGATTTCAATTCCACAGAATATTTGTAATTTAGTCCAAAAGTTTACACTTAATATCCACAAAAGTGTATATTTGTTCAAACTTGTGGAACACATGTGAAAAAGACTTGAAAATGTATTAAAGGAGAACTATGTGGTGAGTGCTTTTCACTCACCTCATAGTTCTAGCCGACCTGTGACAATGAGACTGTCACAGGTCGGCTCAGTAGATCGGGAGGTGAGCGAACACATACCGGGTTCGCTCGCCTCTCGATCCTGTCACGGCTCTCTGCCGTGACAGGGGGAGGGGCTGGATTCCACTCTCCCCGCTCCGATCTGCCAGCGCTGACTGGCGGAACGGACGGGGGAGGGGGCGGGTACAGCTGGCTCTGCCTCTAGATAGGCAGAGCCAGCTGTCACTCACGCAGCTGGGTGGATCCCGTCATCTAAGTCGGGATCCGCTCCGGCTGCGGCGTCTCAGTATACCGCGAGCTGTAGCTCGCGGTATACTGAGCTTAGGGTAACGGGAGGACGCTAGTTTGTGTCCTCCCGTTACCCTAAGGAGAACTATGGGGAAAAACACTGACCCCATAGTTCTCCTTTAATATCCTGCTTGCATGCAGCTTCCACAACACCTCTGTGGAATCTCTTTACAGAGAGCCGCTCACCCTATTGCTAGATCCACACCCAGGTCTAGTATCGCCTGTCCCTCTTGAGAATAACGGGCAGAGACACCGGTAAGGAAGAACACACTTATGTGGATATTAAGTGTGAACTTTTGGACATCTCGTTTGGTTTAAATCAGTGGTTCTCAACCTGTGTAACCTCAGAACCCACAGTTGTCCTAGGTCATTAAGTCATGACCCAAGTTGTGCTGCAATGGAACACACGGTATTAGGGTAGCGCATGTTCAGGTGCGGGTGTACGAACTGTGGGTGGGAAGTGCGCTTGGGGTACCTTTCAAATGAATGGCAACGCAGCACCTCCCACACCAGAAAGCACGGCAGGTGCGATTGCATGGTACAGTGCGTTAATGCTATGTGAGTAACGCACTGTACTAGTGTGAACTGGCCCTCAAAAACACTGACCTACATACACAATCTCACACATTCACTGACATTCTCAAACACACATTCACACTTTTTTGTTTTTGTTTTTTTTAAGGCCCACCTAGTCTCCCTACCTTAGGAGAGCTGGAGTGGATCCTTGCCTGGGGTCCAGAGTGGGCTGCTCTGCTGTGACGGAGCTCCATTCATATGTGCATTGCTTGTACAGCTCCCTTGCATGCCCTGTAGAGGTGACGGGAGCCAGAATGTGACATCACTCTAGTCCAGGCACCTCAACAGGGCATGTGAGGGAGCTGTAAGCAATGCAGGTATGCATAGAGCTACCTCACAACCATATCTCCAGCATATACCACCTCAAGCTGACACTGCGCTGGCCAGCATATTTTGAATGGATGCTTGGCGCGAGAACTGACAGTGTTGCGCTAGGGGGAGGCTAAGGAGCCTCTCACCTAGCGCAGTGGAAGGCATGCGGTGACCCACCGAACACAGGGTCGTGACCCACTTTTGGGTCACAAACCACCAGTTGAGAACCAAGGGTTTAAATCACAATTATTCTGTGGAATTGAAATCATTCACTTCATTGTTTATAGATGACATTGCATATTTGAACATTGTTTAGATGTTGGGTTTTCGATTATTAGCACATTGGAATTCTTAGAGGGTGATTTATCACAGAAAGTTTTCTAATATTCAGATAAAGTTTTCTATATATTTTTATATTTATTTAAATATCTTAATATATATATATATAGTTTCTTTTATCCATTATTCTTGGAAAAATGCAGTACTTACCACATGGAAAAGAAACCTTGTTTCAAAAACACCTACTCTGTATCTTTGTTACAGTTCTTCTTTACGTGAGGAAAGAAACAGATGAAGTATTTGATGCGCTCATGTTAAAGTATCCTACAGTGAAGGGGCTATTAGACGCTGTAAGTATATGTAATAAATCCTGTAAGACATGTATGAAAGGCTGATACGTTTCATTTTATTTACTTACACTTGCCAAGCGCTCCCCGACACTGAGACAAGTTGATAAAGAGACCCTGTCACCAGAACATTCTCAATTTCTCAGATTCATTCTGAGTTCATTAATTCATTCTGAATTCTCACCATTTTCACATGTTTTAAGCATGTTATTTACCTGTGAAAGCCTCCCGTGCATACATACAAAAGCCAGAGAATGCTGTTTGGGGGTCACCATCTTGGATGTGATGTCAGCAGCCCCAGGGGGCTGACACTCAATAGACTACTATTCTATTCTACACTCAATAGACTACTATTCTATTCTACGTTCTTCCCTTTACTTCTACATAATAGATTATGTAGGGGGGTGAAGGGAAGGGGGTGGAACTGGGCCAGCACAGACAGCAATTAGACACTCCCAAAAGAAGAGCAGCTATGATGTTCAATAATGAGAGAGAGGGGACAGTGTAAGGAAATTGACTCTTCTGGGAGTAGTTACATTTTCTAGCAAGTTGAAAGGCACATTGAAATTGAATAAAAAAAATAATTTATGGAAACTAGGGATGCACTGTACTCGGTACAAGTACATGTACAGATACTTTTCCAGCTCCAGGACTAGAATAGAGAAAAATTCAAAAGTTAGGAGGCAGCTGTCATTTGTAAGGAGCACACGGAGCTCCTGGGATTAGTACATCTCTGTTTTATTGTATGATGTTGTTTTTATAAATACATATAAGGGATGCACCGATACCAGTTTTGCAAGTACAAGTACTGATACTTGCCTGAGTGCTCACAGATACAAGTACTGATACATTTTTGTTTATTGTCATGTGACAGTTATTCTAAAACAATACAGAATAATGGTTTCAGGACAGTGGTACGTACTGTCCTGAAACCTACCAGGGTTGCAGCTGTTGCAGCTGGGACCTGGCTGTATGTACTATACAGCCAGGTCCCAGCTGCAACAGCTGCAACCCTGGTAGTTCTCCTGAAAATGACAAGTATCGGCACTGGTATCTGAAAAGTATCGGTGCAGCCCTAATGGAAAGTTAAGACACGGCTGCACTCCAGTGACACTCTATAGTAGTCCCCTACGTTCTTCCCCTGGCTGCTACATATTAGAATATGTAGGGAGGTGAATAGAAGGGTGGAAGATCTGGACCAGCACAGACAGTAATTAGACACTCCCAGAAAGGAAGGGACTATGATGTGCACGGAGAAAGGGGATTGTGCGATGAAATGGACTCTTCTGGGAGTAGTTACATTTTCTAGTAGGGATGTGCCGATACCGGTTTTTCGGTATCGAGTACCAGTAACGATACTTTTTGTTCGATACTCACCGATACCGAGTACTGATACTGGTGCCATGTGCCCCGATTATCAGGAAGCCGGGAGGCAGATCATGACCCGCCACCCGGCTTCCTGAGTGCCAGGGAAGCCGGTGTTCTATTGAAAAAAACAATCAGGAAGCCAGGCAGTGGGTCATGAGGTGCCCTCAAGCCAGGAGGAGGGTCATGACATGCTGCCCGGCTTCCTAAATTATTAGGAAGCCAGGCTGCCTACCAACAAGTATAGCCAATCAGGAAGCCGGGAGGCGGGTCATAACCTGCCGCCCTGCTTCCTGATACGAAAGGAAGCCGCCTCCATGCTGCCTCGACACTGCCGAAGTTCCGGTATCGGAGGTAAGTATCGTAGCATTTTTCTGCGAGTACAAGTACTCCGTACAAATACCCAGGTATACTAGTATTGGCATTGGTGCATCCCTATTTTCTAGCAAGTTCAAAGGCACATTGCAAGTGAATAAAAAATTATTTATGGAAAAGTAAGACACATCAAGTAAGAATTTAAATACTTTTTTCCTGCAGTTTTACCTGCAATTTTTTAGGTTGGTGGCAGGGTCTGCTTAAGACAAATGTCCTATTAGTTTTCTGCTAACAGAAGGCGATGCATCCGTTATATTAACCTAATTTACCAATAAATGTGTAGTGTGTGGGTCTGCCCGAGATCACTGAAAGGGTCAGTCTACCACAAACTGATATGTCACTACCCTGAAACTTGCTTGGTTTTGAGCAATGTCTGTATATTGCCAACAGAGGGCAGCAGAGCTCAGCTAACGCTCCTTATTATGAAGTGCAGTGATGACAACAGTGATAGATTACACTGAAGACTAATTATATTTCCAGATCTAGGAAGACTTCATATAAAGTTTTTGAGTTCTTAAGGAATTACATCTATGCCTGCTGTCAGTATACTCAAACTGAATTATATTTCCAGCATGTAAGATTTACTCTTGTCTTTTTTCTGTCTTCCAGATCTCAGATAAATATGGTATTCCTGTTGAAAAAATGGTGAAAATTTATAAGAAAAGCAAAAAAGGGTAAGGAGATGAAAAGTGAAATGAACAGCGAAGAGTAGACATCAGAGGCGTTGCTACAGTTGTAATTTGTTTTGTAACCCCTCCCCCCCAAGACACCAGGGAAGGAGAAGAGTGATGTAGGCGTGTTTTAAATGTGAGGCTAAAAGAATTATGTGCAGACAAAAATATGGAACCTTCCATTGCTGACCTCTTCCTAAAATAAAATGCTATATGCCTGGATGCAGTGCTAATCCTTCCAGAAATCCATTGAGCTCCTACTTCCTGTACGGGGCTGACAACACTGTTTCTGCTGCACTGAAATCCCAAGCATTGTTGAGTTCTCCCTTTCTGGACTGCAAAAAATCTGTGTATTTTATGTAGAGAAGGAGTGTGTGTGGTCTGGTGGTCTGGTGGTCATACTGTAGTACAGCAGGAGAGAACTAAGATAGGGCACAGCTTGAGATTTTATTGCAGCAGAGGATTTCTGGCAAGATCAACAGGTGTTTTTTTTATACCTTCTGCATTTTTAAAGAGACAAAATATGCAGAAATGTGAATGTATTGCACAGATGTACTGCATATGTATTTGTTATTTTGTCAGAAAGACATTTAAATAGCAGCAGATCTTTCACTGTCCACATAGTGTGCTGGCACTGGATCAAAATGGTAGACATTACCCCCCTGCCATGCATTGTGTAGGTCTCTGTTACTGACCAATCATAGACCACGTTGTAAAGCCTTAGCATGGAGCCAGGCAGCGCTACTGCTTTATGGAGCCACACAATCCCTAGCATAGAACACCCCATACACATGCCTTCATACAGCACCCCACCATATACACCTCCTCATACAGCACCATCCAGCGGCGGACCTAATAACCAAAGGGCCCTGGTGCAAGATGTTATCTTGGGCCCCCATCCCAAGCCGGGGTGGGGGCGGCGGGGTGCGCGCGGGAGCAGATCACACTGGCCCCCGCACCCCCACCCCCCAGTGGTCTCTAATGTTGCAGTAGCGTGCTGGACTTACCTGAGACCCTGCACTCTGCAGGCGGTGTTCTATCAAAGGTTGTGACTACGTTGTGACCGGTGGTCATGCGTTTTAACGTAACGTGGTGATACGTTTTAACGTAATCCGGCCCAGTTTTTTGGCGGTAGAATGTGTGACCGCTAATAGGTGAAGCATTCCATCGCTTTCCCAGCTGTACCAGGGCAGAAGGGCATCACAAATCGCATGTGCAGGAGAACCGATCTGCCCTAAAACAGCTGATCGGTCCTGAAATGTCACTTCTCTCCGACTGCGATCTCACATTCCACCGCACTCACAAAGTCGGATAGTAGTGACATTTCAGGACCGATCAGCTGTTCCAGGGCAGATCGGTTCCCTGCACATGCGATTTGCGATGCCGATCTGCCCTGGAACAGCGGAGAAAGCGTTGGAATTCTTCACCTATTCCACCGCCGAAAAACTAGGCGAGATTACATTTAAATGTGTGACCACGTCACTGGTCACACATTCTAACATAGTCTCAAACTGTGATAGAACAGGGGCCTGTCTGTAATAATTTAATCAGAGAAATAGATTATAATAGGGAACATTACAGTGTAATATTCCCCATTATAATCCACTTGTCTAATTACATGAAGTAAAAGCCCCCCCCTCCATCTCCCCCCCCTTCCCCCGCTCGGACTCACCCTGCCAGGATAGCAGCAGCCATGTGTCGATGTGTGCACTGCAGGGGGCGAGGCGGGGCGTGTGACACATACCTGTTACTATGGAAGCGGCCGGGAGGGGAGGTGAGTCACAGGACCCGCTCCCTCACTGGGAAGCCTGTCGGCAGTGCGAGGCCCCGGTGTTCTAACGCACCCTGCACTGCCCCATATTGCAGGACCATATTGCAGGACCGGACCCCACTGAGGCTGTGGGGGTGCCCAGGACCGGACCCCACTGGCCCCCCCCACAGCCTCTGGCCCCGGTGCGGCGGCACGCTAATAGCGTATTTTCTCAGAAGCTGCACACAGAGCGCGCCGGTTTAAGTAGTAACCAGCACGCTCTGTAGGCAGCTTCTGACAGCGGGGGAGACGGTAAGCTGGGCTTGTCGGTGGATCCAGGAATCAGGTCAGTATTAAAAAACAAAAATGTTTTATTTTATGTTCCTGGGGACATGAGGGGCTCATTCACTGGAATCGGCCGGCACGTACAGCTCCATGTTGTGTGCACAGCCGTATCGGGCAGCTCCCGGGAAGGACAGGTGCTGATTAGTATGCAGCCACTGTCCTTCTCTATAGGTGTATGCAGCCGTACGCCCCCCTATGCTCACCCGCCCAGCACGTCCGTACGGGTGCATGTTTCCTTGCTCGGACGCAGACAGGATCCAGACTGTCAGCATACGGGTACGCTCACCCGCACCGATGAACAGGACGGGTGAGCGCAGGGCAGCGTACGGCCGCGTAGTCCCATAGAGCAGAATGGGGGCTGTGTACTAATCACATGCAGCACCTGACCCCCCCTGGATCCGCCACTGAGTGAGATTTGGTGATGCCACTTGCTGTATTCTCTGACATGAGGAAGTAAAGTCCTACCATGACCAAGATGGCAGATAAACAGAGACACAGTGCAGAACAAGGCATGGTAAGGCACTAATAGGGAAAGGTCAGCTGCAGGGGTACCACAGGAAAATCTGTTCACTAGTCCTTTTCCCTCTGTCTGCCTTTTTTGTTTGGGCATAGCTTCCGGAGTTCAGTTTTACTTTCAGTGCACCCAGAAGAATTGGTGGTGTTTCTTAGGAGGGGCGACTGCCAATCATTCTCACCCACTTAATGCGCAGGGCACAGGTAGCGTGCATACGGCCTGCCAGGCTGCACAATACAATCATCAGCTGGAATACATTAATGGAGGTTATGTTAACCTGCTGATTTGTACTTCTGTCTTTAATGATTTGAACACATCTTCCTACATAAAATGTAGCCAGGGCTGAAGCCATTGATTTTCCTCCTATGAGTCATACATTAAGGGAGAAGGAGCGCAGCGGTTTGTTAAGCAACGTGTCTATTTACACTGTAATACAATGTTTTGGTCATATCGGTGCTGAGAGGATAAATAATGAGTCACGGAATAGAAATATCTCCTAATAGTGTGCTTGTCTTTTCTGTATCATGAGTTCTGCACAGCTGTGTCATCCTAATACTGGAACTTGTCACCTACACTATGCATCCTGTGATGATATGAGTTTACTTAAGACTACGATGAAGTCATCTCTCATAAGTACAATGATCATCCCCATCATGAACCAAGGCAAACACACAGGGCCGTAGCTAGGGCGACTGAGCCACTTGCCTTGGGCGCAGGTACGGGGCGCAGCCAGGGCTCAGCACGGCAGGGAGAAGTGGGACAGCACAGCCTGCAGCTTCTGCTCTGGATCCCCGCTGCTCTCCCCTGCCCGAATGGGGACAGGCAGCGAGATCCGAGGAGAAGTGAAGCGCTGAAGCTGGACGGGGGTCGGAAGAGGAAGCTGGTGATCAATGTTTGTAAATAACTGGGGCACATAGTACTATGAGTCCCCAGTTATGAATCAACAGGAAATGCTTTACATCACTTGTTTCTGAACAGCTCCAACTCTCTCAGCCCTGTTTCCCTGAACTTCCTGTTCAGTACAAGATCACAAGGGACAGAGCAGTCTCCAGCAGCTGTACAAATTTAACATCAAGAAGCAGCATCGGTTGTAAGTGGTTTTTTTTTACTAGCTCTCTAGATCTCAGCGGGCGTCTTTAGACGTCCGCTCAGACACGCCCCCTCGCGCGCGCCGCTGGGCAAATGGCCGAAATTCAAAAACAGGCAGCGATGCCTGTTAAAATGCAAGCGATCGCTTGTATGGGGTAACGATCGGTGCGCCCCCCCCCCTCCGCTGTCCCCCTGCCATTGTCCCGCTGATCCCGGGCTTCGCTGTGTTATAGGGGATCAGAGGGAGATCGTTACACGAGCTCGCCCCGGTCCCCTCTCCTCTGACAGAATGCGGAAGTGTTGTATATTACATCACTTTCGCATTCTTGTGTCACTCTCCAGCTTCAGAAGCTGGAAAGAAGCTGATGGAGCAGATCTGTGCTTCATCAGCTTCTTTTGGGGGGTCCTAGGTGACATTAGGGGTCTTGGAGACCCCTGATGTCTCCATAAAAAGGACCTGTCACATATTTTGCTAACACAAGGGGGGTTTTATTAGCCCCCGTATGTGATAGCAATAAAGTTTAGTGGAAAAAAAAATAGGAAAAAAATATTAAAGCCCCCCCCAATTTTTTTTTTAAGTTACACATAAAAAAGAATAAAATAAAAAATGTTTTAAAGTCCCCACCCATACATACACGCATGGAAACGTGCAAAAAAGACGATTGCGCCCATTACGCCGCACATGTTACATATCGCCGCAAACGTCGTAGTGAGAGCAATAAGTCTAGGGCCATCAATCACTGATAACACTAAACTGATGAGCGGTAAAAGCTTTTAAAGCATCGCCTATGGCCAATTTTGGGTATGGTAGTTTTCTGCGATGTCGCGGGTGCGCGCAATTTTAAAGCTTGACATGTTTGGTGTCTATTTACCCGACGTGACCCCGTATTTTATATTTTACCAAAAAATTGGGTAATAATAAATGTTTCCTAACATAATGTAAAAAAAACTTTTTTTCCCCAAAATTTTCAGTAATTTTTCCTAATTATAATAAATTAAATCCCGTAGTGGTGTTTAAATACCACCAAAAGAAAGCTCTATCTGTCCCCCAAAAATGGTATAAAATTCATTTCAGTACAGCGTTGCATGACGGAATAAACGTCAGTCAAAGTACCGCAGCGCTGAACACTGAAAAATGTCCTGGCCAGGGGGATCTAAGGGGGTCTAAACACCTGGTCTTGAAGTGGTTAATCAGCGTTTTGAAAAAGCTTTAAAAAGTATGACTTTAATATCACTATCAATAAAAGTTTTGTTAAGAAAAAAACCCAACTCTGCTCTCAATGACCTGAACACATGACAAAGATTTTAGTAAACTTTATTGCAGATTCTTACCTTTTCCTGTCCGGAAGATACTGATGTAGGCCTTGACAGTACTTTTGTTGAACTGACGCCTGTCATTACCTGATCAGTCTCAGTGTAGCTCTGTGCAGGAAGTTAGTGAGCCAATCAGATGAGCAAGAAAGCGGGATTTGAATTTCTGACGAATTTAGGAAGTCCTATCTAGTCACTTTTGTAAAGGCATGGCAATATTTAATAACATTTAATTACAGAATGACACATATAAACATTTTAGTACAAGTGGAAGTTCTCTTTTAACCAAGTACCGTATCTGTATTAAGAATAAATCATTCTAGGTTATTTGTTACAAAACTTGGCTGTTCTGTGCATTTTCACAAACATTTATGTCAATTGTGAAATCCGCCTAATCCACTGCTCTCTCTTTTCATTTCTTAGCATCTTAGTTAATATGGATGACAACATCATTGAGCATTACTCCAACGAGGATACCTTCATTCTGAATGTGGAAAGTATGGTGGAACAAGGCTTCAAGATCACACTGACAGAAATCTAACCAAAGCTGCAGCAATGCCTGATGGGAAGGAATGTTCCTGCATGGAACAGAGGGGACCGTACGTTCTCTTGTAACCCTTACCTTATCAGAGACATTATTTTAGGACTTGTTCATAGTCTCCTGGGCAAAGGATTCCCCAGTTACTTCATTTCCCATACAAAGAAGAAAATGCAAGCTAAAAGACTGATTATCATTTATTTATTTTTGTCACTTCACATTGTGGTCTATTAATAAGTGGACATGGTGCATTCTGGTTGGATTCATGGGTTACCTTGTTGCTGTTCTGTAATATGTGCTTCAGGAAATGTTTCTTTCTGCTTGGACATCCACATTTTCTGTGGTCAGACTGAGTGTGTGTGATCGGTCAAGGGGAAGCTCCACAACAAATTAGAGGCTTTGATGGGCTAATGGTGGCCTGAAAAGTGGTCTGTTTTGTGTCTCTATTCTGAAATCAAAGTATATATTTGTCTTTATGACCAAATTTTCCTAAAGCTGGCCATACACTGCTTGAATTTCGGCCAAGTCCTGCTGACTAAAGTAGGGTGTACACCAGGGACGTGCGGTCAGGGGAGGCAGGTCAGGCAGTGCTGAAGTCTGAAGCTGGTAGCTTTTTCCCCATTCAGAGCATCTTGTATCAGGTTACACAGCTCGTCTAACCTAACTTGGTGAGGCATGAGCTGTCACAGCCTCTACTCTGTGTTAGAGGCGTGAGCTCTGTGGATGGCGTGGACCAATGGCAAAGCGCCATTGGTCCAAGAAAAAAAAGCAGTTAGGACATTGATCTCGATGCCTCACCAGTGACAAGCAAGTGAGGGACAGGGAGGCTCCTCCCCACACAGCTTGGTTTCCCAGCTGGGGGCGGAGCTTCGGTGGCCTGGGGGGTGCCTCACCCAGCACAGAAGGCACGGCACGTCACTGGTGTGCACGAGTCTATTTTTTTGAACAAACAAATAGAACAGAGTCCTCCATCCACACTGAACAGCACTGACGAATCCACTGCTTCTATTGGCAGCAGCCTCTGTCAGAATACCTGAACGGAGTTTGCAACTTATTGACTGCAAGCTTGATTCGGAAGATCTTCCAACATGTTCCTTCAGCAAAAGATGATCTTATGAGCGACTCCTGCTGAAGGAATAGGGTCACCAACGTAGAAAACTTTGCTGTGTGTGTACCCGGCGTTAGCTGAAATGTGAGCAGTGGGTGGCCCTGTTGGCATCTCTTAGCTCAACAAAAGTTTATATTTAAATTAACTTTTGACAATGGAGCTGGGCAAAAATTCTCAGCAGAAAAGTGACTGCAGTCACTGTTCCGGTATTCTGTGAGTGACACCCCCATTGTTGTTAGAATACAATAGCCCATCAGCAGAGATCCCTCATCCACACTGGGAATCAAGTGGTGTTTGGCCAGCTTTAGTCTACTGGAGCCATAATCGTTATATATTTGTTCAATTACTTTTACAGTGCTATACTGATGGCCAAATCCAGGATGTGTACATACTGGCTCATTTGTTTTACTATTTAAAGTGTATGTCAACCCTAACAATGAACTTCTCTTACTTGCACCCTTTTGGTGACTGGTCTGTTAAAAAATACCACTTTTCTTATATAAGTGCAAAGAAAAAAACCTGTTGATCCTGCTAAAAATCCAGTCCGTTGACATCTTCCTGTGCCCTCTGCCTCACCTGACTGTTATCAGTTAGTATTGTTCCCAGCTATCTATTTGGACTACACAACCCCCCCGAGTAGTTATGGAGAAGAGGAGAAAGGGAGATTTTTTTAGTCCTGTCGTAGGGTGGCAATGCTGCTCCCCTGTAGATACAGAACAGTGAATGACCATTGTCAGTCTAGTATATCTGTAGCAATAAATCAAAGCAACTATAGATATTGTTTTTTTCTTGAAGACGACCAGCTTTTTCATTTCAGAATTGTAGAAGTCATTTTGAATTGAAAAACCTAGCCAGATAACCAGTAAAATGTCTTCAAGAAGAATGCAGCCCGGTTGCTTTGTTACAGATATACCATGAACTGGATGTATAGGAACCTCCTCAGATAGTGTCACCCTAGGGCAGGAAATAGGTTACTGGCAGGATCACTAAGTGGAAGTTAAAGGAACACAGCCTGAACAGAGAAAAATAATGCAGACAACATATTTAAGCACAGATATATTACCATTTCGTTCTTGGGTTATGGTACCCTTTAATTGCAAAGGTCTGATTGATAAGAAGCAGCCCACAACTGCTCATAACAACCCACATGTTCTCTCAAACACAACAGCCTTCTGGCTAATGCCAGATTTGCCAGTCCAGGCATACTAGCAACCTAACATTTATTAAGCACTCTACACTGGCAATCACCCTTCACAGAAGATTCATGCAGCGTCCGTGAGGTCTAGTGTTTGTACATAATATGTGTGGACAAACCTGTGTGTTCTTTTTTTAGCATGATCAGTCATCTCTTCTAAAAACTGAATGTAAACAGAGGAATTATCACTTTTAAGTATTTTGTAAGTAATCTTTACGATAAGGTAGCTTTTTTTTTTTAAACAATGTACAAATTTTTTTGTAAAGTGCAATAATATAATATGTATATTTTATATTTCGTCTTGCCTAGTTTACTGCCACTGCGGTGATTACCTGTCTGTATCTAAATTATCGGCATGTATGGTTAATCAGTAAGGTAGGGCAAGGAGCAATGCTGAAGCGCAAATGTAACCCCCCCCCCCCCCTTCATACTATTGCAGTACAGTAACACATGTGCGTAATGCCATCTGTCCTATACCGTGCCTTAACGTGCAATGCGTTAATGCAGCTTATTTATTTGAAAGGGCTGCCTAATGCATCAAAAAGCACTAAAACAGCTGCATGTACTGCTTCTGGCAGCAGAGGGCAATGCATGTGTGTTGGCAAGGTGTCTTGGGGTGCTAATCACAATGAATGGCACCACATTGCACCAACGCATGTACCGCAATGCAGTAGTGCGAAAGAGCCCTTACATTTACAAATGAACTCCAGTGACCTGAAAGCAGATTGGTCGCTATGTGTTATGCATCATCATTGCTGTTTGCAATGGAAGTAATCAAAAACCAGAAACCTTTATATTGTTATCTCTCTATATAAATACTTTAGCCATTGACAACAGTTGAATGAATCAATGTTATGCTTACGGTTGCTATAGACCGAGTTGTTTTTTTTTTTTTTAGCGTTAGCGTTTTTCTGTAATACATGCACATTTGCCATATTTTATTCCTTTAAATGAGAACTATGGGGTTAAGGCTTTTCCTTAAGTTCTCATTAGGGTAAAGGGAGGACACAAACTAGCATCCTCCCGTCACCCTAGGCTCAGTATACCGCGAGCTGTAGCTCGCGGTATACTGAGACGCCGCAGTATACCACGAGCTACTGCTCGCGGTATACTAAGACGACGCCGCTGAAGCAGATCCCGACAATTATATCTGGATCCGCCCAGCTGCGTGACTGACAGCTGGCTCTGCCTATCTAGAGGCAGAGCCAGCTGTACCCGCCCCCTCCGCCTTCCATTCCGCCAGTCAGCGCTAGCGGATCGGAGCGGGGAGGGGGGAATCCAGCCCCACCCCTGTCACGGCAGAGAGCCGTGACAGGATTGAGAGGTGAGCGAACGCCGGTATGTGCTCGCTCACCTCCCGATCTACTGAGCCGACCTGTGACAGTTTCATTGTCACAGGTCGGCTAGAACTATGAGGTGAGTCAATTGCACTCACCTCATAGTTCTCCTTTAAGAACAAGTACAGATAAATACCTGTTGACCTGTCAGAAATCCATTGAGCTCCTAACTTCCTGCTTGAGCTGACAATACAGTGCCTCCAAATCCAAGGTAGTGTTGTCAGCCCTACCGCGATCTCTGCTAGATTTCCAGAATGCCTCTCCCTCTCTAACACTGCTTGGGATGTTCAGTGCAACAGAGAGTTGTTAGTTTACAGGATTTCGGGAAGGATCACCAGGTATTTTTCTGTGTTTCCAGACAAAACAGTGATAAGGTGCATGTATTGCTGAGACAGACACTTTAAAGGGATTGCTCACCCGAATCCCTTACTGCTGCCAGACGCCAGCCCTTTAAGGAGGCCTTAACACTGAAGGACGGTATGCAGGTTCCCGATCATGTGATCACTGTCATAATCGGTCACAGTGATGTCATCAAGAGCACATCCTACACCCTTCTGATTATACTTGGGTGACCTGGTGCTGTTGGTGAGAGCACAGTCAGAGTGCTGGGGCACCAAGTGAGCACGCTACTAGCACAAATCAGCTCCACTGTCTATATACATATATGGGTCAGCATGGCGATAAAGCCTATTGCTGTGCTGGCACATATATGCGTACAGGCGGCAGGAAGGAAACAAAAATTCCTTTAATAATAGAGTGGTGCCACAGAAGCAGCCTCCTGCACCCTTTGGAATCCAGCCCACTGGGCCTCTGGACTCTGGAGGGCTTATAGCTGGTTGGCATGCTTCAGCTGGAGTTACCATCAATACAGTTGATTCTTGAAGGCAGTAGTTGTAGTGCTTTTTTTTTAACCAAATGAAACTTTGTAGTGCCCCAACATTCCCAAACCAGTTTAATAACATCTATTGCTGAAGGTCAGTGGGAGGCGATTACCAGTGACACTGTTTTCTTCTTTTTTTTTTGCAAAGTGAAACATTCCTTTAAATGTTAATTAAGACGGTGGCAACTATGTACATAGTTATGTATTAATGAACTGGAAGTGCTTTGATTTTTTTCTTACTACGGTGTCAAGTATGTACATAGATATACAGTATAGTAATGAACTGGAAGTACTTTCATTTTATTTTTTTTTATTCGATTGTATTTGTATTTTTGTCTTAAATGTGAAATATTTTGGTCAAGTGTATATTATTTTTTTCTATATAGATATTCTTACTTTTGAAAACACTCTTTGTTATCTGTGCTTCCCAAACAAAAAGCTATCATACTCCGTAGATTGTCAGAGGACATTTCATGATTTCAGTAATGCGCGTGATCTTTAAATTGATGTGTTTTTTTTAGAAACACCTAAAAATCCAAATTCAAAAATGAAAATAGAATTGGGTCTAGTAACCATCCTGATGTTATACCCATGGATGTTATTTGGCTTTATAGGATGTGCCTATGATATTATCTCCTATCTTTATAAAACACTCCTAAAATTAAAAGATTTTTTTTATTTAATAGAAAG